GGAAAAGGTTTGAATAAAAATGTATAGGGTATTGATATAATATTTAAACTAAATCTTTTATCAAAGAGGACTTGTGGAAGTTCTATTCTTCTAACTAAGCTTAGTATGTTTTTCAATTGCCTCAACTGTTTGTTTTATATTCACATTTAGGGCCTATCAAAAATATTCATGAATTTGCAATTGATTTATCGAGTTGAACTGAACAAAATTAATTCCATATACTAGTAACGAATTCTTTTATTCGTTCAAAATACGTTCAAAATATTTTACAATCCTTTTAATGTTTTTTACAGAATTCAAAAAATATTTTTGATAGGTCTTAAAAATCATTTGAACTTGAAATTTTAATGTTATAAATACAAAATTATAGTTTGGATAATATAAAACCCAATTATGTAATAAAATGGATGAAGTGTAGCTAAATCGATTTTTTGCCAAGGGTTACACAGAAACTAGACGAGCTTTACAGTGTAACAATTGCACCCCTGAAGGTCTTAGAATTAAGAATTTTTGAAAACTTTTTTTTTTATTTAGTCCTCAATTCAACCTACCCTTAGGGACAAACAGCCCACAAATGTGATAAAGGATATAATTTTCTTTCACTATTTATAAGTTTCGAATGCTTAACTACCATCGATGTATAAGATTTTAAAAAGTTACGTTGTGTAAATTTTTAATATGTACCCAAACAAGTCTCACCAAGGAGCATATTGCCATCTAGATAAGTTACAAAAGAATGTATAAACGTACATGTATGTATTTTCAAATATCGCCAACTCAGTCCCTTTGGACCTGAAACCTAGACAAGTGGTACTCCGAATATCTGACGTTTTCAAGGCTTTTTCACGATTTTGATATTTTACGTGCCAGGAAAACGTCAGAACCGGTGCCATTACGAAAACTGGGAAATCGCCGCCTCGAACCGGAGGCACATTCTCGAATTGATTTTAGATTCTTGCGAATCGAATTAAATTTCAAAGTCACAAGTTATCAATAGTACAATACCTTTATTACTTACAAATATCGTTTTTATGGTTCATTTATAAAATATACAATCCGTTGAAAACATTTTATCAGAGTGTCGAGATTTGTCTTCATTTGGTGCATTTTAAAAATCTTGCAAGGACTGGAATGAAATGTGGAGGGAATTTTTCTTTTCATCGATATTGGTGTGTACTAGAGGCATTGTGCTATTGATAAATTTTGATTTCGACATTTAGTTCGGTTCGCTACCATAAAACATGAACTTCGTTTGGAAACGGCGAAATTTCCAGTTTTCATATGGCGCCAGTTTTAACTTTTTCCTGGCATGTAAAATGTCAAAATCATGAAAAAAGCCAGGAAAACGTCAGATATTTCGGACTAGACAAGTGGGGGTAGTAATTTTTTAATTTAGTAAAGAGTGGCCTGTGATTGTTCATTTTCATCATTGAATCCTATTTCCAACTTCTAGTCCGTCGGTAAAGGTAGTTTCAATATTAGCTGCAGAACTGTAGCGTAATCGTTTTATATATTAGTCTTTGACATAGCTCTACAGTTACCATAATGCAAAAAGGTACAATTTACGGCGCAAGATTGTATGGCCCTGAATTTCTCCACTCTTCAGCATTGGTCAATCATTTACCTTTCATTCACTAATTCTAGAGACAGACTCTAACCAACATGTATATCTTAATTGTCTCCCAACCCTTTATGGGCGTCTCTTCAGACCGATAAACTCGCCTGTTTTGATTTTTTAGTCGGATGGCAGAAAATTCAAAACAAGCGAGTCTGTCGGTTTTTGGAGACGACACTAAAGGGTTGGGAGGTGGAAAAATTATACGGGTTGAATATAAAATTGCTCTTGAAGTAGGAAGTGCAAGGTAGTTGATAGACCAAGGCTGGAAAGAGAAGAGATTTTTTCCCAACAATGCACAGAAAACCATGCGCTTTATATTGCACTTTTTGCATTACGGGATCTGTAGCGATATGGTCAAAGACTAAAACCATAACGCTACAGCTATTTCAATATAAGAATGATTTTGTACCGGTCTGGACAGGAGCCAGGAATTTTATTATTTTCTGACATATTTTATTTTATCAATTAAATTATAAAGTACTAGTAGTCATATTGCATAATTTATTTGATAAAGTGAAATATGTCAATAGCTCTGTTCGCTACACATGTAGTCATGCAATTTGTTGCCTTCCATAATAAAAGAGAAATTTGTGTGTGTAATGTTGTTTGCCAATTATAGGACAGATTTAGCCCCAACTGGAAGCAGGTATCATTTTTTTTCTTTTGTGAAGGGTTAAGCTTTTACAAATTTAGCACTCATTGTAATCATGCTAACAGTTTGTTAGAAGTCCATGAGAAATCAATGTTTAAAGATGTATTACCGGTAACTTTTCTAAAATATTATGAACTTGGTCCCATTCTGGAGTCTTAATCACGTCCATGAATTTTATTTTGTAGAGAACTCATTCTTTATTATAATCATGTCAATATTTTTACTGTTTTGTTAAATTTTGATGATAATTTTTAGTAATGTCCAAAGTTTGCTCCCTTGCTGTTAAGGAGCAAAGAAAAAGATTTTTTTTTCAATAAATATGATGCATTTTTAGACTGTGACCATCCCGTGGTCTGAACCAAGATTATTTGGTGTCAAGAGTGATTTTTTTCAAAGAATTTCTCTGAAGCAAAGATTACCGGATATTGGGGGTTATTAAATTGTGTTAAAACAACTAGTCATACTTCTGAGTTTTGATACAGGACCAGTTGCTTTTAGTAGTTTGACTGTTTAGTGTATAGTAGTAGATATAATAACAACAAATCTAGGCTCTGAAACTAGGAATAAAAAAAATTCTCATTTTTCGTAAAGGACTTACTGTGAATTATAGTCAGGCAAAGAATTTGACTGCTTTGTCAAGGAGAAAAGATCCTTACATCGCAGATTCGAATCCCACTGTGGGACGTGGAGACCGGTCCTTCGGATGAGACAGTAAAAACCGAAGTCCTGTGTCACAGTAGGTGCTGGAGCCAAAAAGACCCCTCACTGCTTAATGGCCATGAGTGCCGAGCATATGACAAAATTTGCAGCTCTCCACCGGCAAGTGGTGACGTCTCCATATGCGTGAAAAATTCTCGTGAGGGACGTTAAACAACACACAATCAATCAATATAGGAGAAAAAACAAGATTTTTAATGGTATTCTTCGAGGCATCAACTAGAAAGTGGTACAAATGAACTCTGGCGGAAGTTTGGGTATAAATTTTCATAAACGGATAGTAGAAGACGGCAAAGACCGTACCTTTCCTAGCTACTAGTATATTCCCATAAATATTATATATCCTGAATTTATCGAAAATGGTTCACCCGTTCTAGAGAAGTACCTAAAAATGTTCAAAGGATGACGGACAGAAACATAGATATAGCAATGTGTTATCCGGTACCCTAGAGATGAATTAGATCTGCTACTGAAAACGAACCAGAGTTACATGCAAATGAGGGATTTGTAATTTTCAAAAAAAGGATAAATGCATAAGGATGGATGGTTTCAAAACCTAAAAATATATACTGAAGCAACAGATTCAAATTCCGAGGCTTATAACGTTAGCGATGGTTTAAACACAATGCATGCCTTATCAGTGAAAGTCCGATCCATAACTAAAGGCATATCAAACCAAAGCAAGATGACAAAAGTACAAAATTTACGCAAGTTGAAGGTATGGCAGACCGGGATTTATTTTTAAACTTACATCACCCTCTTTTCGTACTCAGACTTTGGAGAATATGAATGAAAGGCAATGACCACTGGGGTCCTTGAAAGCTTTTTTTAGATTCCAGGTTACCACAACTACAAGATACTGCTTAAACTGATGCTGTATATTCTCTCTCAGTAGTAGATAAAGGGGGTCGGAATCGTTTGCTTGGAACTTTTTATGCCATTACTGTCTTTTTATGTAGATTGAATGAATGACAGTACCGTAAAGATTGTTATCTCATTGTTTGGGATAATCATTTTATGCATTGTCATTTGATTCACAGGGTTTAAGTAATTCATGGTTTTTTATCATTCGTCGAGGTACAATGATTTTATTATTTTTTACCAAAATATCTTTGAATTTATGCAGATATAATTGGTAGGTCTTAGCTGGAGGAGTCGAGTAATGGTTAAGTCTGTCTGGATGTCCGTCTATGTCTCTAATCAAGCTTTCAGAATCTAATCTTCCCTCAGTTTTTATGACTGACGATAGAACACAGAGATACATATTTCTAAGCATTGGTTTTCCAATTATAACTTGTACTAGTTTAACAGTTATTAAAAAAATAATAATAATTAGACTTACCAATCTTATGTATCTAGTAAAAAGTTGTCGGGAAATTCAAGAAAAAGACTTAAATAAAAGCTGCAATTGATAAGAAATTTTCAAATTATTTTTGGGACTATTACATGTATTACAACTTTTGCTAAATTAATGGTAGAGTTAGTCAAACAATAGTCTTTAAAAAAAGCAACTGAATATACATGCATATGTAAACTTCTAATAATTTTTCCAAATATAAATTTTGATACATGTAATTAGGATACATTGATCATAAAACAAACTATTAAAACAACTTACCTCGGAATTGAAAATGAATGATAACTCATCTAAACAAGTTGAAACTATAAATTTATATACTTGCCTTCCACAAGCTAATCTACAGTATAGTCATTCAAACCAGACCTTAATAAACGTGTGACTGACTGAAGATAGCTCCACGGATAATAACGATGATTCCATATTATAGGAGATGGTTTTCAGACACACACTATGGAATTCGCTACACTGTTGCATATTTTGAAATGCTCACACACTTGCATAACATAAACTTGAGTAAATTCGTAGCATGAAATTATATCTTTCAAAATGTTTGGTTCGCTGATTGAAAACATAAACATGTTTTAGTGTTTAATTTTCAATAGTTTTTATTGTTGTCTTAATATATTCTGTGAAATACTTTTTTGTCGTTGTAGGCCACCAACAATTTTGCCCCAACCATTAAGAATGCAACGGTTGATAATAATTCAACGAACAGTGGAACTTTTTCAAATACAACATCAAATTCTCCGTTTCCAGAGAAAATATTTTGCGATTTCTATACTGAATGGACAAATTGGTCAAAATGCAACAGAAACTGCATGCAGACGCGCATGCGCAAATGTCGCAAAAAAGACGTCTGTGGAAAATCAAGATTCAAAGAAAAACAATCATGCAAACACCATACCAGGCAATGTCCCGATCATTCTTTTAAGATTATTGGTTCTAGCTTACGAAATAGAAGGATAGAGGATCGTTTATATGACATTTTCTATCATTCTTGGACAGCTTGGACAGCATGTAGTGGTGATTGCAAAACAAGGCGACGCCGGAAGTGCAAGACTGATATCTGCACTGGAGGATTTTTGGAGGAAGAAAAATCTTGCAAGAGTACTTCCAAGTGCAACAAGATAATGTCATTTCATGTTAAAAACCGACCCAAAAATAGGAAAGGTGTAAATCAAATTTTCATTTTATGTTTATATTCTGTAGTCAAATCAAATTATTCAATAGACAAATCATTAACAGATATAATAATATTTAATAAAATTTTATTATATCTTTTTCTTTAAATTTAGACAAACTCAAGACTTTGAAGGGTTTGCAAAGTGTCTGTGGAATAAGACCTAACACAAGAACCCCTCGCATTGTGGGAGGACATGAGAGTATTCCACACAGCTGGCCCTGGCAGGTAAGTCGAACATGATTTTTCTTTTTTCCCGCTGTACACATATAAACATAAGTTGATAATTACTGTAAACCAACTTTTATTCGCGTGCGAGAAATTTTTGCTAAGTTCGTGAGAGCCTCGTCATCGCGAACATTTCTCGCCGCGAACCGGTCCTTAAAGTGTATGTGTCTATCAACAGATCCAAAAAGGCTTGATCGCGAAAATTATTCGTAGCGAACTAGTTTATCCCTGCTTAATCGCGAAATAAAGTCGACGCGAATAAAAGTTGGTTTACAGTATACCATACATGCTATTTTGTCTTCATAGGTTGAGATTTTGACGAAAAGGAAGCGACACTTTTGCGGTGGAACTCTGATATCTCCACGCTGGGTATTGACCGCTGCCCACTGCATCGTTAAAAAGGGAAGAAAGCGAAAAGTAGTTGTTCGCGTTGGCGAACACGATACCGATGTTCGAGAAGGCACAGAAAAGGATATAAGCGTCATTCGATATCTGCCGCATCCAACATTTAACTATGCATTAGTTGCCAATGACATAGCTCTTCTCAAACTTTCCAAACCTGTACATATTTCAAATAGTACAGGATATGCTTGTTTACCCAAAAAGGGTAAAAAATTTAGAGTGAAAGCAGGGACCTTATGCAGTACACTTGGTTGGGGTAAGACAAATATTACAGCACCTCATAACAACAAAGTGTTATATGAAGTTCAAGTTCCAATAGTTAAGAAAAAGAAGTGCAAAAAGGCATTTTCCTTTAGAGTGACAAACTCTCAGTTGTGCGCAGGCTATTCTAAAGGCCAAAAAGACGCTTGTACTGGCGACAGTGGAGGACCATTACTTTGTGTTAAGTCACGTGGTCATTATGACAGGAAGTGGTACGTGAATGGTGTTACTAGTTATGGTGAAGGTTGTGGACAAAAACGGAAGTTTGGAATTTACACAGACGTCAGTAAATTCTATCGATGGATTGTTAAAAATATCTCTAAAGGCTTATAGTGAATGTACATTGTTATCAAGTATTATACGCACACATTACGTTTTGTGTCCACTGACGTTAATTAAGTGAATTGATGAGTTAGTTGGGAACAGCCAGTACGACAACTATAGCAATGATTCATTGCTTTTTTCCCTTTTTAAATTTTGTTTCAAATGTTTAGAATTTATGTCTCTGAAACTTGATTATAAACTGAATTGCTATTGGCTGGCTCTCAGAAAGCTCACAATTTTTAAAATTTGAGCTGCGACTTCAAAACCATAAAAAAATAATTATCATTTATTAATGTTATCATATTATAATATTGAATTTATTAAGGCTATGGCAGTATGAAAAATGCATAATCAATGATGTTCGTTTGTCTGTGCAAGTCAGTCGTTCATTGCTCAGCTCATACATATGACTGGGTCTGAGGAAACGTGTCGGTAAGAAATTATACCTTGAAAAATTAAGAAATGACATATTTCTACGTAGTATTTTGGCGTTCCTGACTCTATTCTCAAGAACAAAAGGTACATCATTGTAAGTGGGTCTTCCAGTTTAACAAGGTCAAAATACGTGACAGGAAGTGCTTAAAAATTGCTGAATAGGCAAGCACTGGTACTTATTTTGCACTCTTAGGCTACAAGGTTATATTTTTTGCTATGAAACCCAAGAAAATATAGTATCTTAAACAAGAATTTCTGTTTACTAACTTTATAGCTGATGACTACAGAATTACCCCGCACAATTTTCTAGTTGTCTCT